GAGCCGAGCCGAGCGGCACCATGCTGGGCATGATCAAGAACTCCCTGCTGAGCACGGTGGAGGCATGGCCCTACCAGGTGCTGAGCAAGCAGGAGAAGGTACGTGGTGGGGCGGGCTCTATTCCCCCGAGGGGGTTTCTGCGCCAGCCGGGACGGATAAGGTGCTGCGAGAGGGAACGGGCACTTTCTGGACGGCGCTTTCCTCCCAGCCCGTCCGGGCACTTGAGAGCTTCTCCATTCCCCATCTCCTTCCCCAGGAGGAGTTCAGCTACGAGGAGAGGGCGTGCGAGGGCGGGTGGTTTGCAGCGGTGGAGGTGGAGGGGAAGCCGTTCGACGAAGCCTCGAAGGAAGGGGTGCTCAAGCTTCTTAAGTACGTCGGAGGAACCAACGATCAGGGTGAGAGATGCTCCCCACCCCGCGGGGCTTGGGGGATGTTTGTGGTTGACCCCCGCTCACAGAGGCTTGGTGAGAGATGGATGGAGGCAACGGCACTGCGGGCCCGCCTGGCTTGTGGCTCCTGGCACCAGGGCATGGCCCCTTGCTGGGAAAAATAAAGCTTGCCCAGCCAACTCATGCTATGAGTCCACTCCTAGCCCATCTTTATTTCCGGGTAAAATGTCAAAAATTATTTGTTTAAGCAGCAATGAGTTACCCTGCAGCTGGGATAGCACGAGGACAGGTACACGTGTATCTGTCACAGCTCCCTGGGTGAGCAGTAGCTGATGAAATCTGGGGTACCTGGGGCACTTTGATTTTATGATGTGCCTTTGTAGGCAGTCAAATGACTTTTGTGACCTTGATATTTTATCATATTCTCTGGCTATTTTTATTCATGAAAGGGTAATAAACAGCGAACTTGCTTTTTAATGGTGCTTTGTGATGTTTTATAATGGTGCTTCCAGGTGATTGCTTCTAATTCTCAGTTTATTGAAGTATGCACATCAGTAATCATCCGTAGTAGGAGGAGAGGACCACAGAGTAGCTCTGAGGCATATACATTTGCTCACCTTTCACAGGCACCTGGTAGAGGGACTTGTATAGTCTGTACAGGAGTAGGAGCTGGATCCAGAGGGAAATGGCATTTACAGCAGCATGTTTTGGAAAGGTGATCACTGTTGCTGTAGGAGAAAGGATGCCCTCTGTAGCCTGTGCCACAGAGACAGGTATGATATCAAAGCAAAATAAATTATAAAGATGGCTTGATCTCAGCTGGTTCTGTGGCTGCCTGATCCTGAGTTTTGGAGGTTCCCTACTGCTGAAGGAAGAAGAGGGAAGAAAAATATTCTTCAGTGCCATGTGGTACCTCTCGGCAGTAATGAGGAGTAAGAAGCATGCTGTTCCTGGAGTG